CTTCGAGGGCTGTCAAACCGCTCTCGGGAGAGGACGTTAGAACTGCTCCGGCAGTGACGCTCCAGGGCTTTCCGATGCTCATCTGAAGCGACAGCACGTGGGCTTTGCCGCACGGTTGGCGTTCCGCTGGCTCCTAACGCGCAGTGACACGACGCGACTAAGGAGACCGTAGTTCTTAAAGCCTTCTCCCCGTCCCTAGCTGTGAAATCAAGGAAACGTTTTCCTGATCAGAACACTTGTCTCCTCCGTACGCTCTTCTGAAGTCGGTGAAAACGACATCAGGAACGAGCTGTGGAAGACAAGACGAACTAGGGAAAGTCAAACCGCACGGCGCAGGAGAGAACAGCGCGGTGCGCGCAGGCTCCAGCCGCTGAGCAGAGCGACAGAGCCCCGGGGCTGGCAGGGGAGAGGCAGCAGCAACTCCACGCCAGGAAGAAATTCAGGCCAGGACTGATCAGAGGGGCAGAGGGTGACCAGGTGTGGGGGCTGAAAATTTGGGGGGTTTTGTTGCTTTTCAAAGGCTTAAGTCTTCCTTGGCCAGGACACCTTTACACGTGCACAGCTGTGCTTCCTGCTTTCATCGCTGGCACCAAACCCCAGGCCAAGACAGCAAACTAGGAAAAGCACACCAGGGGTAAAACCTCCCGTAGCAGTTAGTGTGGCACCAGAGAATCAAAGTGGCAACGAGAGCTCCGGAATCACAGCAGTGATCAAACCAGCACCACAAAGCAAGGGCCAACCAGGGACACGCTGGCAGTAGCGTTTAAAAACCCGCTTACAGCCACAGGAATTCAGCCAGATGCACGACAACGTGAAGTTACTGTCACAGAGTCGCTGTTTGCTGTTGCTGCCTCCTGCTCAGGAACATCAGGCATCCAAAAGGGGCACTCGGCAGCGCAGACCTGCGTTTATCCCATTCTTGATGTGCTCGGTTACCTTCCATCTCCATAAAGACAACGCCGCTGCAGCAGTGTAGCAGAACAACTGTGTTACAGCAAGCTTCTAAAGCAGCTATTTTTAAGAGGCAAAAGCAGAACAGAAACGTCACAGGCCCTGTTTAGGCTCCTACTTGAGAGAAGGCATCAGGGCTGCAGCTTCCCACAAAAAAAAAAAAGGAACTTGGCAATAACTTACATACTGAGGCGCTGTCAATCGCACCCTCTGGTGAGTCACAGGCTGATTAAAACCGTATTGTTCTTGGAAAGAGGGGTTTGGGGGCAGAAAACTTAAAACAGGAAGCGAGTTTCTAAACAGAGCAGCGGCTCAACTACAAGGTACAAGGACAACGCACATGGAACTACAGAAAAGGGAAGGCAGAGAAGTTTATTTCAGCAATACTGCTGCGCCTCACTTCAGCACAAAGTGTTCGTAGAGACAACCACCCCCAAAAGTATATAAAAACACATCCACTAAACGGTAATCCTGGAAAAAACCCTTTGATGGAGTAAACACTCCCTCTACTGCAGATGAGGAGGAGGGGTTGTGGAGGAAGAGGGCGAAAGGTGAAAGATGATGTCGGGAATGCTTTCCTTTGGGCTGCGGCAGGGGATCACTGGGGGAGGCCGTGCCCCCCAGGGCCAGCAATGCCCCGCGGCGATGGTTGGCACCTCCCAAGCACGTTTCCATCAAGAAGCTTTTGCCGCCCCTTCGCCCGGCAAACAGCCCCCGCTCCGATGGCACGCGCCCCCGCTCCGTGACAGCATGACCGAGACATCGAGCGCCGCGGGACTTCCGCCCCACCTGTGTGGGAGCAGGATGGGAGCTCCCACGGGCAGGGCCGCTCATGCGAGCGCGTAGGGAAATCTTGACTCCAAGCACCAAAGGGTTACACAGCGAAAGGCCACTTACTCCTCCAAACAAGCATCAGAAAGCTGCTCCCCCCTCTGCCCACCCACCCCTGTCAACAGAATTCAGTACAGAGTCAGTGCCCGAGGCCGGTGGCCGCAGCAATCGCTCTCCCGGGGGCAGCGCGAGGTCCTTATGTCAGGATGTCGTGGGCTTGGTGCTCCACCAACATCTCCATGCTCCTCACGTCTGTGCACCAGAACTCCAGGCGGTCCTTCATCCCTTTGATCTGCAAGGCAAGCCCACGAGAACGTTAAGGCCACGGCTCCCAGGAACACCAACGCTCACCTTGCCCGGAGAAACACGCAAGATCCCAAATGACTTCTCAAACCCCACATATCTGGAGAAGATGAGACCTTCGACCATACAACATTCAAAGTTAAACTGAAACGCACAAAAGGGATTGTTTGCAGCCAGTACTCCAGGTACTAGGGTGTTTTTTTTAAGGTAAAGGCACCCTACACAGTCACCTAAAACGTCAAGAGGATGAACTAGAGCAGCTCAGTGCCCCTGTCTTTATCACCCCGACCTTCCCTCTTCCCTAGACAAGCGTGCCGCCCGCAACCCACAACCTCCCAACGTTTTCTGTCACACGTTGTGGCTGGAAGCAGCCACACTGATGTCTGCGCTCTTCTGCAAAGCAGCATTTCTCGTTTACGGTGGTTTGCGTGCTTGCCGAAGAGAAGTGCCACTAACACCCCAATTCCACCTCCTGCTGGGTTTCTAATTACTCACAGCAAAACACACAGGGCACGGCAAGAGCTAAAGGCAACAACGTGAAAAGGAGTAAGGAAGAGAAGATACACCTCCTTGTTCCCTGAGCATCTGCAACAAGCACCAAGGAGATGAATTCTCGGAGAGTGATCCTTTGCAGCTCTGGTTTCACTTCTCAGGTGACCCCACACACCAAAACAAGTTAGTGCTGCCTTCACCTTCCAGCCGGTCCTTACCTGTTGTAAATCCAGCACACGTGGTTGTACCCACGTCATGTGCACCCTCTTATCAACTTCATCAATGCTGCCTTTCACCAAGCCGACCGAGAGCGCCTTCATCACCAGCAATTCCACCTAAAAATAAAAAAAAATCATTCAAGGAAACTCAGTTCCCACCAGCAATGCAAATAAAACCTTTAAATGGCAGCAGCTTGTGCAAGACCATTTCCCACACACAATGAAACCAACGGCAGCTGCAGCCTCTCTCGCACATCCCCTTTTAGGTTTCAATCCTGCCTTGAGTCTCGACATCTAAACATACAGGAGAGGCTTCTTCTCTCTAAGAGCAGGTTTCCTTTCTTTTCTCTGAAATCTCAGGAAGGACAAGGTCATTGGAAAAAGTCAGCGTGGATTTACCACAGGTGAGATGTGCGTGACCAATCCGATCGTCTTAACTAAATCGCTCGCTCAGTGGTCGGGGAGCAGCCCTCTACCTTTCCTCTAGTCAAGCACTCAACAAGATCTTCTAACCACATCCTTGTGGACAAGCTACAGCACAGAGATGAGTGGGAAATCTGCTAAACTGCTGAGCCCCAGCAGTGGTCAGCGGCCTGGAGCTGAGCAGGCAGCTGCTCACAGACCCATCAGGGTCAACAGGCAGGATTCTGCCTGGATAACAGAAGATTCTTCACTGGGAGAAAAAAGAAACAGCTGCTCACCGCAGCAGCTGGGAACAGATGACCCACGGAGCTCCCTCCCAACTTAAAACTCAGGCTAAGCATCTTCAAAAACCTATTTACCAAGGAACAGGAGCACCAAGCAGCTAATTCCTTGTTAAAGTCCTGCAGATGCCCAAGACCAGGGCAGAACATTCCCATCTAGAGCTCGCCTACAGCCGTAGGTCTATCCAGACATTTTTAGAGCTTTGGAACTCGCACATTAAAGCGTTTGTCTGAACTCACCTCGTTCACGGTGACTTTGGCACTCTTGGCAATCTCCTCAAAAGTGAGCTGTCTGTGATTGGCTGGTCGGGGGAAAGTCATCTGGATTCAAGCAAACAAACCAAATAAATCCCACACAGCTTTAGTCTTTCCAACTGCACGCACAGCTTCCCTGTTACTGCCCTGCTGAGCTCTCAGCCTGCAGGAGCAGCTGCATTTCTCACATTTAATCAAAATGCTTCAAAAGAAAAGAGCATCTACACGGGCAGAAAGGAGTCGTACCACTCCCTCCTCCACATGCGCCTTGCTGCTCCACACAGCGGATTTCCCAGGGCAACAAATAAAGCAGATGAACCTGTGCTGAAACGTGTCAGTGGGTATTAAATCCCAGACAAAACACAGTACCTAGAGGTCGTAAAATTTGTTCGCAGCAAGACAAACCAGAAGAGGATATACCTAAACTTACACACATACTGGTATGTGGGTATGTGGAGCGTCATGTATGCTCACAGACAACTCAATATTTAAGTTTTCGCAAAGGATCCAGGGCCACGGAGGTTTATACACCAGCAGGATTTGGTAACAACAGAACCAAAGCCTCCGAGTGACAGGAAAGAAACTGTTCAGGGCTACCTATCAGGGAAAGGATTTTCAGCATTTAGGAAAGTAAGATTTTAACTGTGTTTTAGAAATCTTTGATGTACTAGAACACACTTCCAGAGTCATCATCTCAGATGCCAGCCTCAAGATACAAAGCTCGCTCTTTTCTTCCCCAGCTCCACAGCCCGGCTGAAGGAGCTGCAGAACAAGCAGAACCGCACAAAGGCTTCTCCCCAGCAGGACCTGCCTTCCAGCACCACCCAGAGGCAGCGCCTGCGCCAGCTGCTCACACCCTGACCTGCCGTACGCGGAGGGAACGCAGCACCCAGCACAGACGAGAACGTTTCCCAGTGCCATCCCCACCTCGGGGCAACTGGAGCAGCCCCTTCCCCCCGCGAAACCTGCCACCGCTCTGGGCTCACCTCCATAAGACACAGCAGTTGAATCTTTTGCAGCAGAAGCGCTTCATTTGCGGCCAGATCCGGCTGTAAAGAGGATTAAATTGAAGAAATAGGTTCATTATTACTTGTTTTCCCCGCTGTGGGGGAGGACAGGAGTAAGCCACCTGGGGACCCATCACTCTCATTTACAAGGGAGAGGTTGTTACAACCCACCCGCTGCTCGGTCCCAGTCCCATAAAACAAATCGCTAAGAGCTGCACAATTAAACGCAGCACGACATGAGGCAGGCAACCTTCCATCAAAGGCCACAGCCTCGCACAAGGGGACACACGAGGTGACCCACAAGCTACTGCTGTCGATAACTTCTGCCCTGGCCAGGGGAGTTCATTCCCAACACCATTTTTTTTTTTTTCTTTGAAGCGTCAGAGGCAGTTTAATACCGGGAGTGAATTGCATTATGGAAATTAAATCAGAGATTATCCTCCTGTGCAGGACTGCACGGCGGTTTTGTTTGCTTTGCCCTTGGATCACATGGGATTCCTCTTTAGTTTCAATCAAACAGACACAGCAGGAAGCCAAAAGAAAACGAACCACACGAAATCAGATGAAGGAAACACTCCTATACTGTGATCAAAACTAAATCAGTGCAACAGAGTTGGGAATTCTCGAGGTAAAGGTCCACAGAATCCAAGTGTTCTCTGTAAATATGAGCCCAGGCCTTAAACCCCAGAGCAGCTCGCTGACCTGCTGACCCCACGCCGACTTCAAAGCCTGAAACGTCTCCACGTTCCCGCTGTTGAAGGCATAAAGTGTGTCGATCAGCCACTGCCGATCCGTGTTCCTCAGGGACTCCAGCACGGGGTGCATGAGCTGCAGAAACCAGGCAGGACAGCGTTAACAGGGTAACACCAACTCCTGATACTCCACAGCTGAAGCAACACAAGACTTACCAGCTCCCCAAAGTTATAAACACCTTCTCCCAAGAGCCCTGCCAGTCCCAGGGTGAAGGCTCTCTCCTGCTGCTCCGACACTGAAAAAAGCAAAGAAAAAGCCCTGAATAAAACCAGTTTGGATGAAGTGGAAGTCCAAGCGCCATCAACCCTGTCCTTCCCCTCCTCCCTGTGCCTCTATTAAGTCATCCCCAGCCCACTTCTCACCCAGCCTGACACTGAGCAGCCCTCAGTAACTGCAGCGGTAACACAGAAAGGCCACGTTTTGAAACCTCAGTGAAGATTTTGGAGAAGCAGAACAAAACTGTCACTTCTGGTGGCAGCACTTCCTCCCTCCCATCACCCCAGCGCAGCTCTGGGGCAGGATCCTCCTCAGCCACTGCTCTTGGGAGTTCTTCCCCTTTCGAGCCAGGTTCTGGCCCAACTACAGCAGATTCAAAACAACGCTGAGAAAAGCTGTTCTCTGCCAGCACATTTATTTAGACTGAAGTGATAAATCAGAGAACGAAAACTGGAAGCTCTGTGCTTTGCAGAGGAGGAGTTACCCGGCAGATCTTTAACATCAATGCACCCCAGAAACCGCAGAGCATCCTTGTAGTACGAGGCGTGGTTCCCAATCGTCTGGTAGTACTTGCTGGAGAGGTCGTAGAAGCGGCTGTGAACTGAAGTTACCCCAGGGAGGTTGTTCAGCATCTCCTCGACCTCCTCAATGGTCTCCTGGAGGGAGGAAAAGCCCTTTTGTGACAGGTCACTGCTCCAAGGGCTGCAGCACTCTTAGGTGCTCCAGAAGTAACTCTCGCTTGGCAGCAAAGCAGGCGAGACCGCAGCCAAAGCCACTGTCTCAGCATCAAAAAGAAAGCAATGGCATTCTCCCTTTTCTTAGTAGTTAGGTGCAAAAAACCATCCAAAATCCCCCAAACCAACCCTGCAGTCATACCTACAGACACAAACACCCTTTATACGTGCTCTACACCCACCAAACCCATCACGCCTTGTACTTGCTCTAAGAGAAATAAAGCTGCACTGCACAGAAAAAAACTCAGCTTTAAAAGACGGTTCTAAAAAAACCCAAAATAACAAGAGATGAAAAAATCCCCCCCACCAGGAAACACTAGACTGACTCCGTCATCACCAGCAGCTCGCACACTGGAATTCATGAGACCCTCTCAGCTGCGAGCTGGAAGGCACGAAGCTGTTCCTTCGTCCTCTCTGAGGTGGCCAGCTGCAGGACACTGCCATGCAACAGCCCCTCAGAGGGTTTGAGCTACAACCTAGTCCTACCTAGTGATTTTTATCTAAAAGGCTGCACTTTCTGAAGTCAGCAGCATGTTTCTGCAGACAGTGTGTGCTACTGGCAGTGATAACACCTGATGTTACAGTTACTGCCTGGGACTGGGATGCAGACAGGCTCTTGCTGGTCCTTATTCCTATAGTGACCAAGGCCCCTGCTGGCTCCTGTGTGCCACGCTGGGGGTGCCGGGTAGTGAGAGGAGGCACAAGGAAGTAAAAGGTGGCACCTCCAGGGGGTAACAGACAGGACAGTGACCAACAAGAGTATTCCATCCCATATGTATCATATTTAGTATAAATTGAGTGATCACGAGAGTTTTGTCCCTTTTTCCCTTTTCTTCTTTGCCCTTCTCTGCACCGGCCGGTGTCCAGGGAGGGCTCCATCTGACCTCCTGCTTTTGATCCGATCCCGAGTTCCCGAATCCAGCTCCTGTATCCAGCTCCCGCCTGAGCCTGGGGCTGCCCCAGTGCCTCCTGCTCTGCAGCACCAGCGGGGATTGATATCGGGGGAGGGAGTCGGGTTTGGTATCGGGCTACTATCCATAGTTGTATATAGTTCTTTACTTTTATCATTCCACTATTATTTCTATTATTGTTTCATTAAAGCTGTTCTAGTTTTTTTTTCTCTAACCCCAAAGTCTCTCGGCTTCATTCCCTTTTCCTTCCCATTTTGGGGGGGGAAGAGGGGGTTAGAGAGCGTCTGTCCGTGTTAGCGGCCGGCCCAGCCCTGACCTACGACAAAAGGCTACGTCCATCAGAACCCTACTGAGACCCCAGCGGTCTGGCCCCAAGCATGTTACACACATTTTTAAGGCCTTTAAACCAGAACCACAGGTCTTCCTGGGAACACCAGGAGCTGCACCTTTGTGGGTTTCTCACTGCAAACCGAAGCACGGGCACAGCACGTCCAGGCTGGGGCAACTGCTGTGGGGTGTGAGACACCCCAGCGCTCGATCATCACTCACCTTGGTGACCTGCAGGTCCCCGATGTTCAGCTTCAGTGCCCCAATGGCTGTTTTACACAAGATGACGGCTTCGTCACTGCTCTTCACCTGCGGTGAGGACACGGGGTGAGGGAGCCACCCTCGCAGCCAGGGGGGCTCCCAAAGCTTAAACCGCGCTGGTTCCGTTCCGCTCGTGAAGACGTCTCTGCGTTACGACACAGAGCTGCTCGCTGAGAAACGGAGCAGAGCTTCTCCAGCGCAGGGTTGCAGGGCTGAACACACACGTGTCTGCCCCTCTGGCTATGCCACCTACACTTACACGCAAAGTAAATTCCGCGGGTGCACCACCAGAAAAAGAAAAAAATCCCAAAATACCTTTTCTCGAGTCTTTTCCAGGAAAGTAAGGGCCACATTGGGATCTGTAGGAGTAAAAAAGAATTTAAAAAACAATGTCAGGGATTCCCACAGAACTAAATCTTCACCTAAAAATAAATCTGTCTACTGGATTCACAAAGACTGGACGAGCTTTTTTTCTGTAAGGTACCACTCAACCTTCAAAAGGTGCTACTGCCGTTGGCCGGGCTTTCTGCCCACTGCCCACTTCTCTAGAGAAGTGGACCTGCTGCTCTTTCTTAAGCTCTCCGAGTTGGTGCTTCCCCTTTTCACCACACCAGAAAGATGGCAGCTAAATGCTGCAGGCCCAGCTGTTCCTCCTCGTCACCTTTCAGAGGCACAGGCTGCTGAAAATGCTGTAGGAGGGAGGGAAGACCACTGACCTGTCATCTGTCTGACGACATGCAGGATGATCTCCACCAGGGACAAAGGGTTCACCCTGGAACAAAAGCTCACGGTCAGGACAGCCCCAGCCAAGAGCAGAGCAAAGCCACCTACAAACCGCCCGGGGAACGAACTCACCTGTGCTCGAACTCACTGATGAAGTTCTCGTAGAGCTGCAAGCACAGAGACACGGGCGGTCAGGGCAAAAGGACATTTGCCTCCAGCCACGACACTCACTCTAAGTCATTTTTCCAGCAAAGCAGTGAGCAGCAGATACAGAACTGCATGGGATCCAGGAGCTAAAAGTTGCTTATTTTAGAAAGTTCTGTTCATTTAGATAATTCTCTCCCTGCAGACCAGCAGCACGGAGCGATTCACAAGCCAGCGGGTACTACAGCACGAGCCGACCTGGTGCTCGCCTTCAGCCACCAGGGCACAAGGACTGTTTGCACATACTCAGACAGGAGCCTTGTCCCTCCCTCATGCACATAACTATCTCCTGAAAAGCTGAATTCTAACCCAAAACCACACAGGAGAGCACAGGCGTGTGATTCCTTGTGGCACACAGACCACGTGTGACTCTGGACTGAGCGCTCAGGTGTCTCCACAAAAGGCTCCTGGGCAGCTCCAAGTGTGTGTGAGCACTTCGCAACCCACCTCACGCCTGCAGCTGTAAACCCCTTGTTATAAAGGGGAAAGAAAAAGGCTCCTTCTGTTCCTCCCTCCCCAAAAATCTTGAGTGAGATTAAAGAATTACTGTGAGGCTTCTAAAACTGTCACGTTTAATTTCAGCAGAATTTCCACACACCAGCCAAGTCCTGCACGTTCACATCTAGTGCATAAGCCCCAGAAAGCTGATTTCACCCAGTTTACTATTTCTCCAGGGTCAAGTCACAGGTTGTTTATCTTTCACTAGTACCACACTACAACCACTTGCCTCAGCTACAGACAGATAAAACCTTTAGGAACAACCAAGCACTTCACCTTGATGAGTCCATCTCCTTGGGCAAAGCAAGGGTCCTGAACAAAGTCCAAAACTTGCAGAGTCAGCTGGTGCCATAGTCTTAAGAAACAAAAAAGGTCATTCAGTGAGTTCACAATTCAAACCAGCTCAACTCCTGCCACATCCTGTATTTTGTACAAGGGCCCGTAGTGACAGGCCGGGGG